CATTTTTATTGATCTTTCTTATAGCTATTGCTCCTTCTATGCAAACATTAATGAAGTGCTCCATTTGACTGCATTGCCTTGTTTTTTCACATTGCTCTTGAAAAACTTGATATCCTTTTGTGTCAACTATAGAGTTCCTCGAAAAATGCTGCATTTGCCCAAAACTATACCTGGGGACTATGAAAATGCATCTTGATAATTAAATTACTCTGACCCAAAGCTTGCTATGAGCAGACAGCAATGCCTAATGGCAAGTCCAACTGCCAGAAAACTTTTCTTTGTTTCAGAATATGATGCCTTGTCAAACAAGATGGTGGCTTTTCTGCTGACAGGATCCAACAAACTAAATACATTAATTTTAAAATCTAAAGATATATTCTGATATATATTCTGAATATATATATGATTTCTGGGCTAACTATTAATATAATATAATATATTAACTATTAGCATGGTAGTTTTGATAAGCAAATTGAAACAATTCAAGTCTTGTTTCTCTTGGCTTATTTAATTTACTGATACTATTTGGTATCACAATTGTCCTTTGTTTCATAATATATAATCAGTCAAGCAAAGCAACGGAATGTTTCTACAGAGTGATCAACCTGTTTCCTTCCTTGGGATTACATTTACAACTTTAAGAAATACAGCTATAAAACAGGTCCACACTTGCCACCTTCTCTTAGACAAGGTGTTTTATTCCTGTCAAAATCTGTCTAGGTGCAGAGGGAGATTTTCTAAGACTTTGAGAAAGAGAGCATTGATATTTATGACTGTTTTGGGGATAGTAAGAGAGTAAATGATCGAAGTCTCTTTCTCTCTCTTTTGATATTTCAAGTAATAAAAACCCATTGGTAGTCTTCCTTTCCTAAAGAAAAAAAAACCTGCTGGAAATATTATTCAACCTGTGAAGAAAAGATAGAGCTTAACTCTTCTCTCCTCTCAGCCTATGAAAGATGACAGAGGTCCTGAAAATACTGAAGAAAAAGGCATGTAAACAGGCCCTGCAAAAGTCAGAATGTGGTGATAATTTCTGTTCCTATCCCTTTGTGCTAGTGGTGGGATTTGAACATTTTTACTACTGGTTCTGTGGGCATGGCTTGCTGGGTGTGACATAGCTTGATGGGCATGACAGGCTTGGTGGGCGTGGCTTGGTGGGCGTGGCAGGGAAAGGATACTATAAAATCTCCATTCCCACCAAACCATGTCATAGTACCAGGGGCAGGGCCAGTCAGAGGCAGTATTCCAAACTACTCAAAATTTGCACTACTGGTTCTCCAAACTACTCAAAATTTCTGTTACCGGTTCTCCAGAACTGGTCAGAACTTGTTGAATATCACCTCTGCTTTGTGCTATGGCAGGGGTGCCCAAACATGGCAACTTTAAGACTTGTGGACTCCAACTTCCAGAATTCTCCAGCCAGATACTGGGAGTTGAAGTTCATAAGTCTTAAAGTTGCCAAGTTTGGAGACTTCTGTGCTATGGTTAGGAAGAAGTGCGCATGGTGCAAATTATGATAACAGATTTTCAGATGAACTTGGATTGCAATTCAGTGCTGCCACTCAACTCTCTTTTGCATTAGAGAAATAGTGGTTTTATTTCTTTGCTTATAGCAGATTTCATATTTCCTTTTTTGACCATGGACCACTTTCTCTGTTTATTTTAGGGAGAAAAAAAATAGAATAACAATTAAAATGACAAGCATAAGAAAACCCATCTGTAGTATACGAAGTAGGGCAAAGCAGATGTGTTTATTGCACCATAACATTATTTTTTGACGAGTCCTAAAATGACCAGATGCATATGACTGCTATCCGATTCAATGGACCTATTAACACTTTTTTTACTTCTCCTTCAGGAAAAAGTTGCTCTTGGTACTCTTCCCTGTGACATTTGTAGTTCTGAAATATTTAAAAAGCTTTGGGCTGAGCCTTCCATTTGAGGTCCTCCATCCAAATGATCCATATGCCCACTTATATTTGCCGTTGCAATGACTTTCTTATTATTATCAACCTCTTTCATGTAATACCAGGATCACCCATTCACTGACAGCTAATCTCCCACCCCTGATTCTGGCCCTGTGCTGTCAGTAAAATATTTCCTTATTTTAATGTCCTTGTAGTTAAAGTCAACTGCTCAGGCCCTACCAGCTGCGACTCAGCAGGGGTGGCACTGTTCTGTTGGCAGCAATGATGTCAAGCAAAACTCCCTTGGAATAGAGTTTAATAGGGTTATTTCTGCAGTTAAGTGCCTGTGCACCAGAATGGGCTGCATTCAGAACATAAATTTTATTATTGTGCAGGAGCTCTAGAAGGCCATTACGAATGTTTTAAACAAAGCAAAGGGAGAGCATAAAAAGCTGGAACTACTCTGCCTCCAGGGCCTATTTATTTCAAGTGAGATGATAAACAGGCCCAGGGATATACAGTACATTCCTGTGAACTGGTAGACATGGGCCATTCATAAATGAGAAATCCCATTCTTTCATGTAAAGGAATCCTGCATGGATCAAGAATATGAGTCCTGGATTAAGGCCTTTTTAAAAAGAGGCATTAAAAGTACCCACTTTCTTGAATTATATAACAGAGCTTTAGGCATTTAATTGTCTGTCTATTATCTATTTTACAATTTTTTTTTCATAAATCTTGATTATCAATATTCATTGCATTAGATAAGCATTCATCGCTTTCAATGATGTGGCTCAACCCTACAGCAGAGCAGTGACCAGTCGGTATCATTTTAAAGGCCTGGTCGAAAATAGCTTGTTCCATGAGGTGAAGGAGAAAAGTCATGTGCCACTTCTCCATTTTAATGTTCAAATTTTTAAACCTGTAATTTTGAAGGCATGTTACTTCTAAGTGGCTACTCCTATTATTCATCAGTGCATTTTATAATTTATTACTGCATTTCATTGATGCTTTTTCTCTCAGAGCTTAAATGGTAAATTTTAGCAAAGGGTTCTCTGCCAAGTTGCTGGGTGGGTGTGGCCATGGTGGGCGTAGCCTAGTTGGCCTCCTGCACCATGGCAGAGGGAGGGCATTTTTGCCCTCCCCAGACTCCGGAGGCTTTCCTCGAGCCTCTGGGAGAGTGAAATGGCCTCCCTGTGCTCCGGAGGCTCTGTGGAAGCTGGAAATGGGCCCATTTTCAGCCTTCCTGAACTTCCAGGAGGCCCATTTTTCGGCTTCCCTGAGCTTCCATGTGCACCCTGCACTTACCAGCAAACAGGCCACATGGGGACTCCTGAGAGGGGAGGGGAGGGGAAGGGTGGGCAGGGCCAGCCAGGAATGGGATTTGGGGGTTCTCTGAACTGCACAGAATCTTAGCTAGGGGCTCTCCCAAACCCCTGCGAACCCCCAGCAGCCCACCCCTGAACTTAGTTGAATAGTGATTTGTACCTGAGTCTCTCCTAGTTCTGGTGTAACACTTTAGCCCAGAATTTTTCCAGTTTCCTAATTTAAGGCTATGTGGGTTTCAACTCCTAGAAATTTGTTAAGATTCTAGGGATTGAAGACCATTCTTGTCAAGGTTGAGAAACACTGTCTGAGTCAGTATATCAGCACTGGCTATTTTTTGAAAGCTTGTTGAATACAGGATGCAGATAAATGAGACAAAAGCTTCATGCAGAGAAGTACCCATTATTTCAGACTAAAGTTGAAGCTTTATATGAAGCTATGTGTGTGTGTGTGTTTCTTTGCACCCAAACAAAAAACAAAAACAAAAAACAAAACCAGGAGGCGGGGAGATTTCTAGGTTAGCTTGTTTTTTTTTTTTTTTCTCTATCTGCAGATTTATATACAGTGTAAAATACTATATAACAATAACATTATATAAATAAACCTAGATAGTTCACATTTTATTTAGGTACCTTTGTATGAAGTGGCTTTCAAAAGCATTGAGAAGACACTTTGCATCTGTGATGCAGTACACATTCTCAGGATGGAGAGGTGATGAGATTTGTCTCAACAAGATACTTCAGGTCACCCCACAAACTTGTCTGACATGTGTGATTGCCAAAAAAGGAGCTACTTCATGTTTGCTGTGCATGTGAAGAAGCCAGTTATGAACCCCCAAGCACTGGCTGGAAGCTTCTCAGTACTACAAATGACATAGGAATAAGTCACAGCAGGTCAAGTGAAGCAACATAATCCCCTCGCTTTGTTTTCAAAAGGGAGAGGTCCTGTTTGTTTGTTTGTTTTTTGTTTGCAAAGCAGTTGAAGTAAAGGAGCCCTCAAAGATCAGTATTGCCCTAATGGCTCTTCATCCTCCCTAGCAGAGATAATTTGGAGAGAACACTTTTCCTCAAATCTTGCATCAGTGAGAAAGGACTCTTGGTGTTATCCACATTGATTCAGTTTAAAAATTGAGGAGATATTTCTAACTATCAGTCAAAGTGAGATTAGCTTTTAGCATAGCATAATTTCTCTAAAATAATAAAATTTATTATTTATAATTATTTAATAAAGATTCTTCCCGAAGAAATAGAAGGAAGATCTCATGATGTACATTACATGTATTATTCCAATTATTATTTCAAACCTGGCTTTTGAGATTTCCTTTTAGCACATAGGACCCATGAATGATGGTGACTTTGAGGCAGCACATGCCTTGTGAAATGGCATCCTCTGGAGATCCAGATTGTGCCAACTTTGTTAGCCAATGTCAGAAGGTTAGATGAGCTCTAACATCTTTTTTTTTAAAAGTTAATTGGGAAGATTTTGACCTTGAGTGTTATGGTTTAGATTGGTAAATTGTTGTTGTAACTTTCTGAGACAGTAACAATCACACGCTGTTCCCCAAAACCTTTTTTTTATTATTTCAATGGCGGTGAATTATGTGCATTCACAGCCCGTAATGAATCCCAAACAGTTTATCAATAGTTCAACAGAAGTCTGCCATAGTCTTTTGGGATAAGGCTGATAAGCACCCACCTTTATTTCCCTTGAAATGCTGCCAACAACTAAATTACCAATTAGCTGTACAAAGCCAAATGGAGCACAAAGTCAACACAGAGCTTCAAATTTTAAACCGACCAGAATGAACAAAGTTGCTTCCTGCGAAGACTCATGTCCCTTTGCTCCTCCTTTAGGGAAGGGGCCAATCATCTCCAAGCCTTACTCCTGAGTCGCCCTTTTTATATTAATTGTTCTGGCAGCTCTGTACAAGCACACACTGGGAACAGGCTCCCCCTGTTTCTCTGCTTCGCTGATTTCAGATTCTGGAGGCTCCAGAGTCAGAACATACCTCTCAGTTGGCCTTGACCCCATCTCGGTGTCAGACAGAGATCCCTCATCCAAGCCCTCCCCAGACTCCAGGACTGGCCCATGTTCCTCCTGACTGTCCGACTCTGCTGTCAGTTCTGTAGGCCGCCAGGAGATCACAACAGGCACTCAGAGTCACTGTTGGCAGCCATAAAAATAAGTAAAACAAAAGAAATAATTCAGTGGAATGCTAACATAATTGCAGAATCATAGTTCTGTAAGTGTTAATATAAATGAAACAGAAAATTTCTTAAAGATAGTGAGATATCATTGAAATCATAATTAAGTAGTTAATCTGTCTTTATTTGTATTAAATCTATATACTGTATATAAAAAGCGAAATACCACACATGCATCATCACAAAATCTCCAGAACCATAAAGCCTACAAACTTGAAATTTGGCACATATGTTCCTCTTGGCTTCTAGGTACTCACTAAGAAAGGGTTTTTTGAAATGACCATCAGAAGATTAGTATTTTATATATTATTATTAACACACTCTGGTGCTAAGGAGTTCTATTCCCACTCCCCACCTGAAAAGAAATCTGTTCCAAATGCAAAATACAAGCAGAGGAGAGGAGTTTCAGTTTCAGTTTTAGTTTCACAGCACCAAGCAGCTTTAGTACAGAACAGTTGAGTTAAGCCATGCTGAGGCTCCTTGCTGTCTCCTTCTTGCTCACACAGCAAATACTGCTTCACTTTCCAAACTGCCCTAAACTCTGTCATACATTGACAGGATGCTAGCCAGGTGAATACCAATAAATGCTGGTAGGCAGAGGCAGAAGTCCCCCCCCCCTTATTTTCCTCCCAAAAAACTAAGTCCGACCATATAGTTTCATAATGAAGCATGGGTATTGAGCTAGTAGTTAAATAAAATGAAATCAGGATTAAAAAAATGTCTATATTAGTTCTTAGTTTTGGTCCAACCTTTTTGCAATAGGTTGCTGGAAGCCAAGCAAAGATTAAAAGTTGACTTTGGCTTCAAAAATGGCACAACCATGTTATAAGAAAAGGGAGCATAATTTTATGCACTACATTAAGGATATAATCTGAATAATTTGGGCTTCTATGGGAGGTGTGTTGAATGAAGAACCAATGCATAGAACAGATAAAATAAGAAGAGGACAGGGGATTGCCTATGTGTGCTCTAGATGGCTGCTCCTCATGAGAAGACGGCAAAATGTGCTCTCCTGCAGGTCTGAATTCTGGGAGTGGACGTAATAGCCATCATGCTTGCAACCACAGAGGAGCCTGTAAGTAAGTTCACAAACCTTACTTTTTGCTCAACTTGAAAATTGGTTATTAATGACTTCTAAACATTAGATTAGTCTTCCATTCAATCCTGAAAGAAAGTTTTAATCATGAGTTTAAAGAATTTGAAATAAACAACAAAAAATTAAATAACATTTTGATTGTAGAAATTAATGCTTCACATTTGAAATATTGGAACTTTTATTATAAGATTTTGGAAGTAATTGTAAATAATAAATTGTGAGGGAAAGTTGAGTATTAATGATGGTTAAACGGCTAGTGGGTATCAGGCATATAGTTAAGACAAAAGAGGAAACTAGTTATCTGACTAGGGTTTGTTATCTCATAGTTCAAAAGAGTAAATAGGGAGAGCAAGCTTGTTCAAACATCCTTTCTTCCAGATGTTAATTTGAAAATGCAAGTCAATCACAGGATTCTCTCCCACTGTCTTGTCCGTCTAAGCAAGTATGTCTGCCTGTAAATAGGAGCTCACCTTGCTGAACAATCTGTATTTGCTCCCTGAAACTACACTGTGGAGTTACCTGAATATCTCATGTAATATGGATGGATGACTTTAGACAGAATGAAATTGCCTGAACTGAAGGCTTACTCCTTTAATGAACACCTGCTGAGAGTGGGCATTTGGTTGTTGCTCTTCACTCTAAGGACGCTTTAGGGTGGTATTCAGGTTGTGATTGCTTCTTTATTTCCTTACCCATCCAGAATGTGCCCATGATGCAAAACAATCTCTAAAGTGCATCAACATTATCTGAGTATTTCCCAAAGTGTTGTAGGCAGATGTAATTGAAAAGAAAAAACCTCCAGACAAGGTGGTTGCAAATTTCTGTTGGCCTGCGTGTATGTTTCCACTCCCTTGCATGGTGTATGCATGTTTCTTTGCATGTTTTTTGTGTGTGAATGAGAAGCACAAGGGAATACACGATGAGCCAATTATGAATCATCAATCAATCTGAATCATATAACCAAGATACAGGAGGGAAGTAGTCTGAGAATATAATAGTTGGCAGCCTTCTTAGGAATTGACCAATTGCAACTTCCTCAGAGATGCATTGGGAACATTTTATCCTGGAGTATTGCTCTCTGCTGTATCTAGCTTCAGCTGGTTATCTTTTAAAATCAAATTTTTCTTTTGCTGTCTTCTGCCTCCAGGACAGTTTTGGTTCTGTTATATACTGACTTCAGGGAGTTGAAATTCTCTGAATGGAACAGCAGAGAAGCATCATTGCCTTTATGGCATAAGGAAGGGAAAGACTCATGGTGGAGAGACCCCAGATCCTCCATTCAGGTGCAGAAGATGAAAAGGAAGAGTGGGTGGAGAATGGCACCAGATGATAAAAACGCCTAAGATTTCCCCTGGCCTTTCAAAGTAGTGCTGCATATGCTTTATTAATAAATCACAAGAGTTGGAAAGAAGGAATTTTTCTTCTAGGAGATAATAAGGCTGGGCAAATCTGTCTTCAAATGCACACAGCATATAAAGACAAAAACTAATGTGTATATTTAATTATATGTTACAAAGAGTATCCCTTTAAAATCCTGCCTATTACTCTATTTGATATTTTAATTAATGGCTATCAATAGAACGTGACTCTAATAGAGGCTTTTGCTTTGAGCAGAGCCCTGCCAGGCACACCATGATCCAGATGGTTCTTTATACTGATTTAGTACAATCAAAATGCTTACCAAAAAAAAACAGAACAACAAAACTCCCTCCCAACCCTGACTGGCAAATGTTTCATTCCCCCCCCCCGCCCCCCATGGTTTCTATCTATAGAGGTTCCCCTACAAATCAAGGAATATTTAGCTGCAATAGAGCAGCATCTTCTGGATGTTTACCTGATCATTCTTCAACATAATGGCATGGCACTGCAATTTGTCAATGAATAGCACTGCGGGTCATGAAACATCAAAGAAAAACCATTCATTTCCAGCAATATTAAGTGGCCCAGTTTGAGTAAACTGGCATGCCAGCCTTATTTTCTTTAGATATCGGGCCAAGAATTGGAGGTGGGTGGAGAGACCAGCAGGGCAACACTTCCTGATGAATGTTCTATTTACAAGTCAGTGCTTTCCTCCCATGTGTTCCAGCTTATTTGAGAAATTAACACTTGTAAAAATGATGAGAGTTTAATTCCTGATTTCAAAAACAAACAAAACAAAAAGCCAAAGCCCACCTTTTTTGAACTGCAGTTTGTGCCCAGATAGCACAATTGAAACTTTCCTCACTCTTTAAAAAAAAGGTTGTCAGACTCTTGCTGGGTTATAAGTTGAGAAGAATACAAACCTCCAGAAATATTCCTTGTATAATAGAGTAGTTCTCAAACGTTAACTAAAATAGGGAATTGAAGAAGAAAATTGTGTTTGTTCATCTACTTACCCCTCCATTTTAATCACCAATCTTGGAGAGGTAGGAAGCATTCAGGAATAAACAGTGTTTCCGTATAAGAAAACATGTGGTATAAGAGAGAAGAATATGGAAAGGGAAAAAGTTATGATTCATCTATACAATTTTTTTATTGTGATATAAATATGCCTCACTTATCCTATTTTTGGGGGGTGATTGTATATGCCCTCCCTAGGTGGCATATTAATTTTTCTACCTTTTATATGGCTCTTTCAACTCCCTTTTTCTGATGTGAACTCCTATGTAACATGCTATAGGTCAGTGGATTTTAAACTGTTTTACCCAATTTCCCCTTTTTCAAGTCTAGAATAAGGTCATTACCTGCTCAAAAATAACCAGATTATTATTTTACACAAGTGTCTAGGCAGTAGCAGTTCCAAACTGGATCCTCAACTTGTAAAGCGATGACAAATATATCTACCACATCTAGAATATGCTCAGATTGCCTTGGGCAATTACCCCCTTTCCAGTTGAAGAACTACTGGTCTAAACTGTTTAAATCAGGTTTTACTTGGTATCAAAAATACCAGCATTACATGGTTATATTCCTCTGAGTTACTACTCCTGTTGTTGAGTAAGACATCCTTCTTGGTTAGGGTTAGGGTTAGGATTAAGGATTGTTGAATCCCTGTGTGGTTCTTCTTCTTTTGAATGAGAAAGTTGCCACCAAAACAGATCAGGAGTTTTCTAGTAGAATTATCCTTTACAGCAGGGCTGTGAAACTCCCAGCCCATGGGCGCATTTAATGAAGGGGGAAAAACTCCTGATATGTCATGTGATGCCACTGTGATGAGGTGAGTTTGACACACCTGCTTTACAGAGTTGGTCTCCTAACAAATATCAAGGTAATTAAAATCTATTATCAATAGTACTTTGTTTTTTTTTTAAAAAAAAAACACCTATCATTTACTTTTGGAAAACATCATCTGGAATTTCTCCTTCATTGTATGGTCAAAAATACCATCCGCAAAGTTGCTTTTATTCAATCTTCCACTTCTTTCAATCCAGATGGCCTCTGCAGTGACAACAGATTCAACTGGATTAGTAAGAGAATCCATGATGCCAAATGCTAACCT